TATATATATATATATATATATATATATATATATATATATATATATATATATATATATATATATATATATATATATAGTGGTTTTCATAAATTTAGACGCACTCATATTTGAGAATAGAAATTTTTAGTTTTTCAACGATAAAACAATGACGAAAAAAGATTTTGGTTTAGTTTATTTTTTATTTATTAGATAAATACATACAGAATACAAAATTTAAAAAAAGTTTACAAAAAAAATGAAATACTAAGTAATAATTAGGTACAACTACATGGTATTAAAAAAATTAGACAAAAAAAATTATTCATAAATTTAGACGCACAATACATTAGAAGGCGTAATTTATGAACCAATCAATATTTTGTGTATCCGCCTTTTGCTTTAATACAACTAAGAACTCTTCTAGGCATAGACTCAACAAAATTTTTGCACATCGCTTCTGGGACCCCATACCAGGTCTCCTTGAGGAATTCCTTCAGCTGAGTAAGTGTAGAAATTTGAACCTTTGCTAATTCACGGTCAATCCAAGCCCAAATGTTTTCAATCGGGTTTAAATCAGGTGAGTATAAAGGCCACGGTATTGTCATGATACTATTATCGTTGAACCACTCCTTTGTATAGTATGCAGTATGTGCAGTAGCGCCATCTTGTTGAAGTTTCCATGGTTTATCATTGAGCATAAGCAGGTCAATTGATGGAATTAAGTGTTTTTTTGATATAATAATAAAATCAATTATAGCATTATGTTACCGTAACAGTTTGAATAATTTTGAATGATAAGCGTTGATCACACAAAGAATATGCCTCTCACCCAGGGGCGGATCCAGCATTTTTTGGTCTTTGAGATAGCTAACTTCCAGACATGGAGTCAACTCCAAACATTTGTATGCTTATACTTATTTCAAATAATGATGCTTTGCAAAAAATTGCGATGATTGGAGTCTGTGAACAAAAAAGCCCCAAAATTTTTGCCCCCAGCCCCAAACGTGAGAGCAACAAGTTGATAAAATTTTTTTGTACTATTCTTAACTAGACTTATAATTATCTATAAATTTTTAATTTCATAGTAAAATATTTTAGCGTTCAAAAATTATTACCATATAAAGTTGAAACCCCCCTCAATTTGAGGGGGTTGCAAATTTTATATGGTCATAATTTTTGAACGCTGAGAAATAATACTCAGAAAAAGGGGGGCAAAAAGTTTGGGGCTTTTTTGTTTCCAGCCAATCATCGCAATTTTTCGCAAAGTATTCTAATTTGACATAAGTATAAACATATAAATGTTTGGAGTTTGCTCCATGTCTGGAAGTTAGCTATCTCAACGACCAAAAAATGCTGGATTCGCCCTTGCTTCCACCCAAAAGTTAACTTTTAAGAAAAATTTTTTTTTTTTCTTTTAGTACTCGCCAATATTCAAGACTTAACTTGTCAATTTTCAAAACAGAAATTTAATTTTAAAAATTAGTTTATATTTTTTTTTAAACCTTTTTTGCATTACCATTAAATAAAACAATTTTAAAAAAGTACTGTCACATATTTATTATATCAAAGGTGGGTCGTTCATTAAACTTCCGATTACTATAGTTTTTATTTTTGTTTTCTTAGCTTGGAATAACAACGGTCTTGTTTATTGTTAGTTTTGTAAAAGAACAGACGTGATGGAAACGTTAATGCGATTCTTAAAATCGTTAAATCGCTAAAAACGTCAAAAGTCAATATGAGCACTTTCGTAAAAAAAAGTAATAATAACAATAAACAATAATAAATATATCTCTAAAAAAAGTTTTTATACTATTTTTTGAAAAAGCTTTTGCTCTTGAAATACTAAAATAAAGCTCCGTGGAGAATAACTTCAACAACGAGCTTTTCATAATAAAAAACTGCATCTCATCATGAGCGTCTCAAAACAAAGTTTTGAGACGCTTTGAAACCATCTTTAGCAACTTCACCAAGTACTATCATAATTTAAATAGTATAACAGCTTATTTATTATATCATATAACCCATGGAATTAGCAGTAGATAAACATAAAATATTGAGGATGTAATAAATTTTTGATGATCTAGTTTCGTTCTAACGTAATTACAAAATATTGAAGAATGCAAAATTATAATGGGGATGGTAAATTTTATTAACAATAAAATAATTAACTATAGAACCAAGAAATCAAAATAAATAACACCATAAAGAAATTAAAATAACACCGTCAAACTTGTATGAATATCTTTAATCAATAAAACACCGTCGAAATTGTATGAATATTTTTAATCAAAAAAGTTCGCGAAAAAATTAGTAGTCTACCGTAAAAAAGGTACACCAATTTAGGAATCTGCTCATTTTATGCAACCTTCCCCTATTTATTCCGATGAAACATTTTCATCGTGTTTGCTAGATACTACATGTGGGATCCATAGTAGGACCTCTACTATTCCTTATTTATAATGCAAAGGTTCTAATAAAATAACAATTATGTTTGCTGACGATACTAATCAATTTATGTCGCACAAAAATATTTAACACTATTTTATAGATAGGCGTTTCGATCAAAACTTTAAACTGAGTTTTATATTAAAAAAATTACTGAGATAAAAAAAGCTTGATATTACTGAGATAAATAAAGCTTGATATTACTGAGATAAATAAAGCTTGATATTATCTTTCTAAAGTTACCTTTATTACTATTATATCGAAAAAAGAAAAAAACTTATTGAGTATTAAAGAGCTGAAATAAAAAGCGTTAAAGACATAAATATTAAAAAAAAATCGCTTTTAAAAACTTTAAAAAAACTCGTTTAACTAGTTTTTTAAAAAAGCGAATTTCAAAGTTTGAATAAAAAATTTAACTTAAAATAATTTATAAACAAACTTCTGAACCGTTATTAAAACTTTTAAATAATTCGTATGATAATAGGAAATTTGGTTTTCGAAAATGTTCCTAACATTTAATGTCTGAAAAAAATCAACTGGGAAAAAAATTTGTACAAGGGCAAATATTTTAGAATTTACTCTTATAAACATGTCAAAACTTTCCCAATAATAACCATTAGAGGTGTTCAAATTTTACAATTTTTTTTTTGGAACATGTATGCAAGCTAAAAAGATGTGTAATCGTAAGTGATTTTAAGATAATATTTTGATTTTTTTTAAAAAAAAAATTTCACCTTGCTAAACTTAACCAAAGTTTTTCGAAATTTGTAACTTTTTACAAGATTGAAATTTTTTCGAGATCTAAGATACATACAAACTACTTATTTGTTAGCTTACTATGTCTAGAGCATGCTTGAAAAAAATTGGCACCCAAGCTTTATGGGATCACCTTGCTACAACTTGATTTCGGAAACCGTGAGAGTATGGACGGAGGGGGGGGGGGTAAGAGCAAAAAAAAAGTTTTCGTTTAGTAAATCACTTTGTTACAATATGGTTATAAAACCTCATAATAATTTTTATTTAATTTTATCGTAAAAATATTGTGATATAGAATGAAATAGAAAAGTAAATTATGAATAATAAAAATACATTTAGATAAAGTAATTAAAAATAAGATTCGTTTACAATCTATATAAAGTATAATATAAACCATAAATTTTATACAAATAATAAAACCGCAAAATATCATTATTATAAGGACAAGAGAAAAACATGTAAAAGGCCAGATGTTTTTTGGTTCAAAAAACCAATTTACTTATGATAAATTTTGTATTTTAAAAATGTTATTTGTTTTACAAAACCTTATGATAGAATTTGTTTATATTGACAATTTAAAAAGACTGCGTTTGGTACATATAAATATGCAGTTAGACAGTTTATTATTGAGCATTTATATTTTATCTGCATTTTTTTTGTTTATCAAAAATCAGTATCTAAAGTTTTCATTTCTTTTGGTTTAAAGTTAGTTTAATGCTGGTTTTTTATTAAAAGTACATTCTTAAAGTTGTTTATGTTTAGTTATTTTTAATAATAATGTTAAACTAATATTTTTTGAATGTATTTATTGCAATTTTTGAACTATGAGGACCTAAGACAGGTATTTTTAGATTCCGAAATTATAAAATGCAAAAGAATTCTATTAAGAGAAGAAAAGTAAGTGCTCGCACCAAGTGTGCTGGTTCACCCACTTTTTGGTGGGTAAACCAGCTAAGATGTGTTCCATGAAGCTACCAACTAGGGCTGATGTGATTAAGCAATTTTTTTATCTTAAAAAAAAGAATGGACCAAGTTATCAAAATAAACGTCTTATATACTGGGTAACCAGCTAAGATGTGGGTAAACCAGCTAAGATGTGTTCCATGAAGCTATCAACTAGGGCTGATGTGATTAAGTAGTTTTTTTATCTTAAAAAAAGAATGGGCCAAGTTATCAAAATAAACGTCTTATATACTGTCCTCTGAGCAACAAATTCAGGTTTAATTTATAATTTATACTTTAGTTGGTTTAAAATGAACAAAAAACCTACAGAAAAGCATATCTATTTATAAGTAAATAACACTTCATTAGCATTAAGGAAAAAATATAATGTTATATATAGTTTCATAAAAATTATATTTGTTGAAAAAAAATGTCTGATAAGTGAGTTTTTTTGTCACAAATTCTTCAAAATTTTTTATTCAGTGTCCAGTGTACTTCTTTGGATACTACTTGCAAAAAGGAATGTGTACTAGGAGCACTTTGGTTTCCATGGCTAAGATCTGGTTTCCCTATGATTGGACCTGTCACCCTGCAAAGAAATATAACAAAATGTATTAACAGATATCTGAAGCTCAAGAAAAACCAACATAACAGTAAGGCAGGATGTGTGCAATCTAGCACTGACTTTTTAAAGACTGTAAGAGGTACTAACTACTTTTTATTCAAAAAATTATTCATAATCTCTTTTGAAATTCACTCCTCCAGTTTAAATTAAATAAACCTTAAAAATATTTACATGAATTGTTAATTCTTTATTTAATATAAATATTTTTAAGGACTGTTTTGGTTCAGTAACACAAAGAAAAGTCTTATTAAAGCAATCAAAGCAGACAAAGATAGGCTTCATTCCGACTGTCTGAAAGAAAAAGCAAGTCTGAGGACTTGCTTTTTCTGAAGGATCAAAGGAAGAAAGAAAAATGACGTTTGGGCCTATTGACAAGCGTTGAGCCGAGATAGAACAGAAGAGAAATAGCAGGACTCAGAGTAAAGTTATAGCATCAACAAGTTTTTGCGAAAAATCATTTGTTCAGTCTAGAGGTTTTAACGTGTGCTCTACTGATGGTGTACATCTACCTAAAACAATTTCTTCAGAACTAATTTCAGAGTCTAAATCAGAAAATAATTACATGGACTGTTCAATAAGGAGTTTTAAAAATCAAGAATAAACAATTGTTATCAACCAAAAAGTTATTAAAGAAACTATGAGAACAGCTATAGGCATGAAAATAACAGCTCATAAAATTACAGCAACTTTGATAAAGCTTGTCAGCGCAGCTGGAGGTAATCCAAATAAGTTGCCCCTCTCTTATACATCAGTATTTTGAATGAAAAACAATATTATCAACAAAGATGCTGAAAATATTAGGATTTTAATAAAAAAAGATATCGAACAGGGTAAGGTGAAAATTCAGCTACACTTTGACGGAAAGTTAATCAAGGTTTGCATATATTTAATTTTAAAGAGTGTTTTAATTGAAAACAACTGTTTTGCTTACATCGTTAATCTAATCCTAATTCTAGGACTTGATATCAAATCACGGTGGTGTAGCAGTTGATAGGATTTGTGTTTTTGTGAGAGCTGGAGGTACTGATCATCTACTTGGCGCTCCAGGAGTTTATTCTGGTACAGGCTAAATCAGTTCAAGGCTATCAAAACATTTTTGAAAGAGTTTGAAATTGCTGATCACATAAGGATGGTCTGCTTCGATACTACTGCTAGCAATACTGGAATGATTCGTGGTGCTATATACAGGTGAACTGTTTTTAATATAATTAAAAATAAGGACTCTAAAAGCTAATTACAGTAAACAATTTAGTTATAATCTTAACTTTTCAGACTGTTGGTAAACCATTGTTGATGCTTGCTTGTAGACATCATGTTTTAGAAGTCATATTAAAATATTATTGGTTAGCAGTTACCATAGACAAAACCACAGGACCTGACAACGCACTCTTTAAAGGCTTGAAAAGTAAGTGGAATGATATTGATGTGAAAAACTGTGTCATCACTTACTTTAAATGGCAATCTATTTATGATTCTTGGTTTAATGAACAAGCAGAAAAAGCTAGAAAATGTTTAATGACGATTGTGAATGAAGGAATCTTTAGGTAAACTTTTCTAACCATTTAAATCTTCAAGTTTGAATGCAAAAAAATAATCAATTAAAATTAAACATCCCCATTAAACTTTTTTAGAGGCACGAGAAGAGAGCAGACTACCAGGATTTTGCTGAGCTTGCTCTCATGTTCTTGGAACCGACATTCGAGCCTATCAACATACACATGCCTGGAGCAGTACATCATGCTCGTTTTATGGCAAAGAGTATCTACTATCTAAAGATAATGCTTCTTCTTAATTCGACTAAACAAATCCTTAAAATAAAATTGAGCCAGGAGAAGATTAATGAGGTGGAAAAAATAGCAATTTTTATTTCAATTTTCTATGCTCCTCAATTTCTGAGAGCTGAAAAATCAGATACAGCTGCAATTCAAGTTAGTTTTTTACCCTTTGATACAAATAATCATAGTTAAACTTTAGCATTGTTATTTGATAAAATAGTGTACCCAAATTATATTAAAATTTTCACTTTATCTGGAAGATAGCTCATTTGGAGAAGTTGGATGTAGCTGCAGCTTCAGTCTTCAAAAGATGTGGAAAACACAGCTGCTACTTAGATCCCACTACTGTTATTTTTGCCCTTGCCAATTCAGATCAGTCTGTGTCTGACATTACAAAGGAAGAAATGGCTAGAAAGCTAATACTGTATCCTCCAACAAACAAGTATGATTTTGAAAGAAAGAACGATTCCGGTTTTATTCCACAAAAGACCGAGTTTTTCAAACTCACCGAGCCACCTTCACTCGTTAATTATGTAGGAGCTGAGTCATGGTTAGTATTTGATATACTTGAACACACTGAAAAATATGTTAAGTGGCTTTTTATCCTTTGTCTACATGGAATATAGATCCAGATTTTATTGCTTTTCAACTATTTGTTAAAAGCTTGTCAGTTGTTAATGATGCAGCAGAGAGAGCCGTAAAAGCAATTCAGGAGGTTGTTTCACAGACATATGACGAGAAGAAACTGCAGAAAATGTTAATAGTCAAGTATAAAATAAAAAAAAACCAATTTCACGCACTAAAGCAGCATATAAAGAGGCAGCCGAACAGCTACCACTTGCTGAGAAGCTAAGTCTTGCGTATGAATATGAATTTCTTGAGGTAACGGAGGACAAGTTACCACAATCTAGTACTAGTGATTTTGACAGTAGCTTGGATATTGTTGATGAAGATGATGTGGTTGAGACAATAGAGGCTGAAAACGAGGCCTTCAATAATGCAGAAACCTAAGTCTATATTTTAAGTTAATATTTTTTTGAACGCTATCATTTATTTTTCTGAAGTACAAAAGAAGGATGGGGGGGGAAGAAAAGGTACGGGAAATAATTATCCAGGCATTCACCTCCTTGTTTGGGTATGGAGGCATCAATATATTTTTTATATTTAATTTTCTAGCCATAAGGAGGTTGTACAAAACTCTTTAGATCTATATAACTGCTGCAACACCTTACTATAAAATCTTGACTTATTGAGCTGCGGTATTATGGCGGAGGTTTTATTATTTTTTATCAAAAAAAATTTTTTGATGTTTTTTATATTTATACAGTTTCAACTTAAATTTGAAAAAAAAAAAAAAAATTTTCCCCCGTCCATACTCTCACGGTTTCCGAAATCAAGTTGTAGCAAGGTGATCCCATAAAGCTAGGGTGCCAATTTTTTTCAAGCATGCTCTAGAAATAGTAAGCTAACAAATAAGTCGTATACATGTTTGTATGTATCCTAGATCTCAAGAAAATTTCAATCTTGTAAAAAGTTACAAATTTTGAAAAACTTTAGTTGGGTGTAGCAAGGTGAATTTTTTTTTTTTTTTTTTTGAAAAATCAAAATATTATATTAATCATGATTTATAAGTTACATAAAATCAAATATTAAGATTTTTGATTTTATTTAAGATTTAAGATTTTTGTAAGATTTTTTTGTTTTTACCTAAATTAAAAAAAATTCTTCATCAATTTATGAATTATCTGTATAAATTTTACTATCATGAATTTGGCCAAATAACATTGTACGCGCTAGTTATCACGTCGATAAATAATTTATAGTTAAAAAAAAAAAAATTATAGTATAAATATTTATAGATAAAAAATAGTTATAGCGTCACGTCGATAAATAATAGTTAGTTAAAGCGTCGTAATTTTTGTCGTCGTTAGTTATAGCGTCGTAATTTTTGTGCACGTTTTAATGACTATTATAAGTATATAAAAACTATCAACTTTGTATATAAAAAACTATCAATTTTGTATATAAAATAATTTGTGTACATTTTAACGATGGTTGTAATTAATGTCAAGAGAGTTAAACGTTGTATATGTAATAGTTTGTGTGATCATTTCAAATGATCACACAAACTATTACATATACAACGTTACAATCATTTCTTGACATTAGATCATTTCAAAATCTCAAACATTAGTTAACACGATATGAATACAATAATGCAACACCTAGATGACAACATAATCAATGACACAGTCTAATTTTGATTTCGATATGGCTGAAATGAGTAAAAACCTTGATAAGCATCAAAAAAAAAAAAAAGTAAGTTATGAGATTATCAGTTTTTTCTTTTTGATCAATTATACATAGTAGTTAAATTTGTAGACTCAAAAGAAAAACTAAAAGTTTATGGCTCTTCTTAATTTATAAATTGGAAATATAATAAATAACTCGATAAGTCTATTCTAGTAAGTTCAATTAGTTCTTTTATAATTTTTTTGATTTTCCAAATGAAAAAAAGAAATGTTATGATGGAAGCAAGGAAGACAACAATTCTAAAAAGCCGAAACGTAAATCTTCAAAGTTTTTAAATATGGCTAACAAAAAAGACGAACAAAAATAGTGAAATGGATGTATCATATTGTAAAGCATGTTGCCAGCCCCTAATAAATTGTAAAGGTGAATTAGTTTTAATGACTACATGGCCTACTTTATTTATACGGCCGGATATTTTACATTTTGAAGAAAAAAATAGAAGGCCAGTTTTTAAAATTGTAATGTTTCAAAAATTTAATACGTTTTGAACATTTTCAATATTATTTTACTTTCTACATTTAAAAAGTCCACAAAAGTTGTATTTATTCATAATTTTAGATATTAAACGAACATTTATTAAGAAATAAATAGTGTTTATTTTAAAATTTAGTATTAGTAAAAACGATGTAAGAAACAAGAACAGTTATAAAAAATATTTAAATGTTTCTCTTTTTTCATTTAAAAATAAAATAATTATATATAATTTATTAAATTTTCTCAAATTTTCTCTTTTTAAAAGATTTTGCATGATCAACAGCTACTTCACTGGTAGAGATAATTCTTTTATTATTAAGAAAAATGTTAACAACAATTCTTCCAGCAAGTTTTATCCCAGTTTTCTCATGCATGGGACAAGAAAAAGTCTGAAAAGAGTCATAAAAGTGGTTTAACAAATATTCTAAAGCTTGTCGTGCATGTAAACTAAATTTCTTTATTTTTTTATAAAAGTAGTCAATCATAGCAAAGGATGTGCAAACATAATTCAAAAGTGATGGTGAAGGAATAGTGAGACGACCCCTAGAAATAATTGTTAAATAAGTATGATCAGGATTGCTTTCATCAACACAACATAAAAATTCTTTACAACATGTACCAAAACGTTTTTTAAGTTTCTTTGCTATATAACCAGCAATATGAGCACCTACTTCCCTACTTTCTGGTGCAAGTGTCATGATTTCTGGAGTACACTGAGCTTCATCAATAACAAGAAGAAAGTTTTTCCAATCTGTTAAATTATTTTCTGACTCAGGCACTTTTAAACTATCATCGAAGTTAATACTTTCTTTAACTATACTTTTGATTTTTAATATTTTTTCAGAAATAGTGACATCTTTTAAACCTACCAAAAATCTTCCACCGCTCATTTGTCTATATTGTACAAATCTCCTTTCTAATGGGTCACTTTGAAATCTCGCAGTTAAAACAAAGTGATATCCATCATTAAGCAAGTCCTCGATCAATGAGGCATGACTATTAAGTGTTCTTATTAGTGCTGCAGCTGTCTGAACACTTAAAGTAAACTTCTCACAGTTTGGTATCTTTTGTGATTGCCAAACTTCAATCCAATGTTCCATTTCCCGAAGAAATTCAGGTTTTTTATCACCAGAAACGACTGCATTACCTAAAATATTACATGCTGAATACTGACATTTAGAATTTGATAAAACCCACCACTTGTTAAATAATGTAAGAAAATCTGCACTACTTTTAAGATCTGGAAAATATGAGTGAATCGCTGCTGATGTAGTTTCATCAAAAATTGCAAGTGCTAAAGAAACATTTTGTTTAAAATTGCCAGGATGTAACACTTTCATTGTTATTTTTGGTGCTTTACACAAACCAGCATCAAGAGTGAGGTCTTTTTCATAAATATTGTGGAAGGTACTCCATTTAATTTCTCCCCCACATATAATTATAGGATCTTTAAATCCATTAAAGTTAAAATCTGGAAATAAAAATCTTTTGCAATTTAACAAATTATTTCTGATGTTTTTAATAAGATGTACAACATCAAAACAGAGGTAAATTTTTTTTAGATTGTAAATAAAAAACAAATCTTCAGCTTGTTGATTCGATGCACAAAGGATTTTTTTAAAACAAGAAACATTAGCAGAATGGTTGTCACACACAATAACTCTAACATTAAATTCACATTCTGTTAAAATACGAAGACATTCAAAAATTTCTTTTTTCAACCATTCAGCATTGATTGTTTTTTCAGGAGAGGTTTTGATCACATATGGAATGTTTTGTTTCAGGCCAACTATCATAAAACAAACTATTCCCTTATACATTTCTCCAGACTCATCACTACCAATCATCTCTCCAGCAAAATACTCCTCACATTTTTGCAAGTACATTTCATCAAAAATCAAGCAAATGTCTTGAGATATCTTACCTTCTAATTTTAAACGTTTTGCACAACTTAGAGCATCAGTATTTCCACTAGT